ATACTAACAATACAATATTATTATAAAGAGCCCTAATGACAGTGACTAAGTACTCAAATGTTAACTGGAAGGTTGATAGTTTGAACCCATCAACCAATCTATGGGACCAAGATACAGCTGTCTACTTCTGTAAAGCTTGAAGCAGTAGAAACCCTATGGCACAGCTCTCTGCCCTACTATGAGTCAGAATCGACTTGACAGCAATGAATTAATAAAGGGGCTTATAAAATAGGGAGCTCTGGTGACTTAGTGGTAAGGAATTGTGCTGCCAACAAAGACACATGGTTTGAATCCATCAACTGCACCAAGAAAGAAAGAAGTGCACTCAACTCCCATGCAATTTACAGCTTCTGAAAACCCACTGGAAGGTCAGCTCTGTAGTGATTCTGACTCCTAAGATACAAAACAACATCATAAAATAAGAGCAGTTGTAAAGGATACTCATGGGGAAAGTTAATTCTCATCAATTTTAAGACAATGATTTAAGATAGCAGAGTGGTTATAATGCATTGAAAATTAGAAAGTATCCACAAATATAAAATACTGGTATTGGTTTTTTCTGTGAGACAGAAATTTCTTTTATTACTCAATTAACGTTCGGAGTGTTAATACTCTGAAGCCGAAAGGATGAAAACTTAAGAATTGTGAGAAACATATGACTCAAGATGGGAGGTTTTAGTTCTTTTTTACCCCCAAGGAAACCCTAATGTGGTTTTTAGTGTATTTTCCTTCTGATACATGTATCTTTATTCTCCAGCTTGTGAAAGGTGGTATGTCATTTTCTTCCTATTGTCTACTTTCATCTTCTTTATGTTTTGCTAGTTTATCATAACTGTTCAGTTAAGAGAACTTATCAATTGTCTGCTTGGTTAAAGGACACGTTTCCAGTTATTTACCAGTAATTATCTATCTTTATGGTGGCATTCCTTTTTCACTACTTCTACATCTAAAATGAGTTCCATTTTGAAAACTGTACAAAGCATTTTATTTTTTATTATTATTATTAAATTTTATTAGTTTCAATGAACATTCACAGGGATTCTGGGCTTTTTGTCCTTCATTGCCGCACCATTCTCTCCACCCTCCTCCCCAGTTTGTTCTTCTTCCCCGCCACCCGAATGTCTGTTTTAATTGTCCAATTGCCACAGTGCTTGTCAAAGTCAGTTCTGATTAATCTCCTTTGTCGGTGTGTCCTTTGCCATTACCTACTGTACAAAGCATTTTAAGTTCTCTTTGAGCAGTATGTTGAATACTATGTAGGTAATGAATGTTATGATATGTAGCTAGTTTTTAAAATTTGGAATTTTGTTTTTTATTCATGTATTATAAGTCTACTTAATAAAACATTAATTTTTAATCACATCTATTTATCCTATAAAATACTGTCATTTTTATGTGCCACAGAGTTAGAAATGACTCACAGCTGACATGCTATTGAGTTTTCAGAGGCTATAAATTGTATGGGAGGCATTTGCCCATCTTTCTCCCTCAGAGCAGCTGGGAAATTCAAGCTGCCTGCATTTGGTTTGGCAGTGCAACTCCTTGCTACTCGGTCACCAGAGCTCCATTTAAAGAAAATACTATATCATAATATACTTTGTCATAACAAACTGTGGCTGACTCTGAGAAGAATGGGAATCCCAGAACATTTAATTGTGCTAATGCGAAACCTATACTTGGACCAAGAGGCAGTAGTCAGAACAGAGCAGGGTAACACTGCATGGTTCAAAATTGGGAAGGGTGTACGCCAGGGATGCATCCTGTCTCCATACCTTTTCAATATGTATGCAGAGCAGATTATCCGAGAGGCTGGGCTCTATGAGGAGAATTGTGGCATCAGGATTGGTGGAAGATCTATTAACAATCTGCGTTATGCAGATGACACAACCCTGCGTACTGAAACTGAGGAGGACCTCATGCACTTTGCTGCGAAGGGTCAAGGACTGCAGCCTTCAGTATGGACTGAGGTTCAATGTCAAGAAGACAAAGATTCTCACCACTGGACCAATTGGCAGTGTCAGGATGGATGGCGAAGAGATTGAGATTGTTCACAGCTTCAGTTTGCTTGGCTCCACAGTCAATACTCTTGGCACTAGCGGTCAGGAAATAAAAAAGCATATCGCGATGGGAAAGTCTGCTGTTAGGGACCTCTCTAAAGTACTCAGGAGCAACGGTGTCTCTCTGGAGACTAAGGTGCGCCTGATACAGGCCATGGTCTTTGCAATCGCTTGTTATGCATCAGAGAGTTGGACAATGACTAGGGAGGACAGAAGGAGAGTGGATGCTTTTGAGCTGTGGTGCTGGAGAAGAGTACTGAATGTACCATGGACTGCCAGGAAAACAAACAGATTCATCTTGGAGAGGATTAAACCAAGCTACTCCTTGGAGGCAAGGATTCTGGGGCTTCGTCTGACATACTTTGGACATGTTTCCAGGAGAGATTGGTCCTTGGAGAGGGACATCATGCTTGGGAGGGTGGAGGGACAGCGCAGGAGGGGAAGACCCTCTATGAGATGGATTGATTCGGTGACTGGGGTAATCGGGATGGGTGTGTCAGAGGCAGTGCATTTGGCGCAGGATAGAGCAGGGTTTAGGGCTGTTGTGCATAGGGTCACTATGAGTCGCAAATGACTCGATGGCACATAACAACAACAACAACAACTATATCATAATATTTTATTGTCCTGAATAATTTTTCATAAATTTAGTACATTTAATTTGAACCATTTACAAATGATTGGGAATAATCGCTATAATCTTTTTATTCTCATGGGCAAATTGCTTTTAGTAATGCACATTGTTCATTAATGAAAATATTTATCTTCATAATATCAATATAAAATTAATAGTCATGAAAAGCATCAATAGGATAAAGGTAGGCTTTTGTTTTCTAAATGTTAAGAACAAGAACTCATGTTTACCTATTATTTTTTACCCCATTTTAAAAAACAACAAAGAACTTTTTAAAATGTATGCTATTATTACATTAATAAATCATCCATTTCACTTTTCTAGAAGTATGTGGGATAAAGGGACAGGTTAAATAATGTCATAAGGAAACAATCTGACTATTTAGAATGTTAGACACCCTACAAGACAACTTGTCCAACACTTCAATAATATAGTATCTTTTTAAAAAAGGAGTATGGAGAACTAGAATAAATAGGCATAATTTTCAGATAAAACCAACTCTAGAAATAACCCTGGATTTAAAAGCTTCTAAGCAGCATCATAATGGATGGTGAAGAGATTGAGATTATTAATAGCTTTAGTTTGCTTGGCTCCACAATCAACACTCTTGGCACCAGCAACCAGGAAATTAAAAGGCTGTCTGCTGTCAGAGACCTCTTCAAAGTACTAAAGAGTAACGATGTCAGTCTGGAGACTAAAGTGTGCCTGATACAGGCCTTGGTCTTTGCAATCACTTGCATCAGGAGAATTGATTCCTTTGAACTGTGGTTTTGGAAAAGAGTATTGAATACACCATACCATGGCCTGCTAAGAGAACAAACAGGTTCAACCGAGAGGGTGAAACCAGGCTGTTCCTTGGAGGCAAGGATTCCGAAGCTTCATCTGACATACTTTGGACATGTTGCAAGATGGGATCAGTCATTGGAGAGGGACATCATGCTTGTGAGGGTGGAGGGAAAGCTCAGGAGAGGAAGACCCTCGATGAGATGAATTGATTCAGTGACTGGGGTAGTTGGGGTAGGTGTGTCAGAGAAAGTGAGATTGGCACAGGATAGAGCAGGGATTAGGGCTGTTGTAAATAGGGTCACTATGAGTCGCAGACAACTCAACATCACATAACAACAAGAACAGGATATTCTTTATAGCAAATGATTAAGAAAGGCAGTGCATTTTAAAGGATATTCAAATGTGAATATAAAAAGGAACGCGTGTGATTTTAGTTCACAGTCTTAAAAAATGTGAATTCTTATCAAACTTGAAGACAATCTAGGAAGGAGAATATAAGGATAATTCATGAGTTTTCATAGGTATTATATTTTAGATAATAGGGAATTCTTTTGTATTTTCTTAGCTGTGATAGTAACATTATGATTACAGGTGAAAGTGTCTTTATAATTCGAAGATGCTCACTAAAATATTTAGAGGTACACTACCATGATATCTGTAGGTTATTTTTAGGTGCATCAAGGAGAAGTGTGGGAGGGGGATAGAGTGCAAATGGGACATTTGTGAACTATAGATAGAGGATATACTTTTGTGTTCAAAAGTCTTTTGAACGTTTCTATATATTTGAAATTTTTCATGATACATTTTTTTCAATACAAAAAGGCAGATGCTTATGATACCTAACAGCAGCAACCAACTTTCTTTGAAACCTGATTAATCAACTCTAGAAAGACATTCTTTAAAAGATATTGGGGAAATTATTTAATGAACATCTTATTTTGTTATGAGCTTATTTTGTGTGATAATTTAATTGAAGTTGAGTAATCTTAACTGTTATAAAAGAAAAAATAAAATAATTTAAAATGTCAGCATAATCATAGGAAATAACTCAGCTGCTCTTCAAGACTTTCATCAAAACTCAATAAAATGTGAATATGCAGAATAGCAAATAAGATATATGAGTGAGAGAGAGAGAACAAAAAGAAATACAAGTAAGAAGACTGTCCAGAGTGCATGAGAACGTGCTCATTTATATTTGATGCGCTTTCTGGGTCTCTGTAGTTTCCCACTGAACCTGAATCGGAGGATTATAAACTAATCAACACTGAATTGGGTACACATGCCCAAGATCCGATTATAACTGGAAATTCCTCATGAAAGCTTTCATTATGCCCTATCCTCAGGCCACTCTTCTCCACTTGTTTAATGTTTTTCCCAGCTTCCAAAGAGTCTCTTAGTTTTGTAAGGAAGCTTGTCCATAATTGTAGTTATGGCTTCAAATTTTAAAAGTCATTTGAAATGAAGATTAGATACTTTAAAAGATATTTCTTGAAAATACGACGTTTATTGCTATCAACCTGAAGAAAATATTGGTATTTTCTTCATCTTTGGGAGGAAAGAACTACTGGGAAAGGCCGCAGGGTGGCGCTGCAGCCTTAGAAGTGGAAACTGCAAAAGCAGCCCCTCCTTGAGCTGGAGACACTCGGCCAGAGAAGCAGACGGGAAGAGGAGGCTTTCAAGGCGGTGGCTCCGGGAAATCCGGGACCAGATTGTCTTCGTATCCTGGTATCTGCAAAATTCCTGGGAGACGGGGTCAGCATCAATACAGATCCCACCTGGGTCCTGTTTGCTGAGAGGCCTGAAGATGTTGGAGGCCGGAGAGAAAAAGCACGTTCTGAAACAAAGGCAAGTCCTACTATTCTTTGTTTTGCTGGACCTAGCTCAGGCTGGTTTCGAACTTGGGCATTATTCGGTGACCGAGGAAATGGAAAGTGGTTCCTTTGTGGCTAACTTGTTGAAAGACCTGGGCCTGGAGACAGGCGAGCTAGCTGCGCGGGGGGTCCGGGTCGTTTCCAAAGGGAAAAAAGTGAGTTTGCAGGTTGATAGGCAGACTGGAGATTTGTTGTTAAATGAGAAACTGGACCGGGAGGAACTGTGCGGCCCCGCAGAGCCCTGTGTACTACCCTTCCAGGTGTTACTGGAAAACCCCTTAAAGATTTTCCAGGCGGACCTACGGATTAGGGACATAAATGACCATGCCCCAGTTTTTCTAGATGAAGAAATAATTTTGAAAATTCCAGAAAGTATCCCTCCTGGAACTACTTTCCTAATAGAACGTGCCCAAGACTTAGACGTGGGGAACAACAGTCTGCAAAATTACACAATAAGCCCCAACAGCCACTTCCATCTTCAATTGCAAGACAGTCCGAGTGGCATCCTACCACAGCTGGTGCTGGATAAAGCCCTGGATCGAGAAGAACAGCCCCAGATCAGACTAATGCTCACAGCGCTAGATGGTGGCAGTCCTCCCAGGTCTGGCTCCGCCCTGGTCCGCATTGAAGTGGTGGACATCAACGACAATGCCCCTGAGTTTACAAAGCTGCTCTATGAAGTGCAGGTCCCAGAAAACAGCCCCGTTGGAACCCAAGTTGCCACTGTCTCTGCTAGGGATTTGGACATTGGAATTAATGGAGAAGTATCTTACACATTTTTTCAGGCCTCAGAAGACATTCGCAAAACGTTTCAAATAAACAGAGAATCTGGAGAACTTCTTTTAACACGGGACCTGAATTTCGAATCTGTTCAGACATACGCAGTAAATATTCAGGCGACAGATGGTGGAGGGCTTTCTGGAAGCTGTGTGGTTTTCGTCCAGGTGATGGATTTGAATGACAACCCTCCGGAATTGATCATGTCAACTCTCAACAATCGTATTCCCGAAAACCTGCAGGACATCATAGTCGCTGTTTTCAGTGTTTCAGATCCTGACTCAGGAGACAATGGAAGGATGGTTTGCTCTATCCAAGATGACCTTCCTTTCTTTTTGAAACCCTCTGTTGAGAATTTTTACACTCTTGGGATAACCACAGCCCTGGACAGAGAGAGTGTGTCCGAGTACAACGTCACCATCACCGTCAGTGACTTGGGCACCCCCAGGCTGAAAACCGAGCACAACATAACTGTGCTGGTCTCCGACGTGAACGACAACGCACCCACCTTCTCCCAAGCCTCCTACACCCTGTTCATCCGCGAGAACAACAGCCCCGCCCTGCACATGGGCACCATCAGCGCCACAGACAGAGACTCAGGAGCCAACGCCCAGGTCACCTACTCGCTGCTGCCGCCCCACGACCCGCACCTGGCTCTGGCCTCCCTGGTGTCCATCAACGCGGACAATGGCCACCTGTTCGCGGTGAGGTCGCTGGACTACGAGGCTCTGCGAGCCTTCGAGTTCCGCGTGGGCGCCACGGACGCGGGCTCCCCCGCGTTGAGCAGCGAGGCGCTGGTGCGCGTGGTGGTCGTGGACGACAATGACAACGCGCCCTTCGTGCTGTACCCCATGCAGAACGGCTCTGCGCCCTGCACCGAGCTGGTGCCCAGGGCGGCCGAGGCGGGCTACCTGGTCACCAAGGTGGTGGCGGTGGACAGCGACTCTGGCCAGAACGCCTGGCTGTCCTACCAGCTGCTCAAGGCCACGGAGCCCGGACTGTTCAGCGTGTGGGCGCACAATGGCGAGGTGCGCACGGCCAGGCTGCTGAGTGAGCGCGAGGCACCCAAGCACAGGCTCCTGGTGTTGGTCAAGGACAATGGGGAGCCGCCCCTGTCTGTCACCGTCACGCTGCACGTGCTCCTGGTGGATGGCTTCTCTCAGCCCTACCTGCCTCTGCCTGAGGTGGCCCCTGAGGAGCCCCACGCTGACTCCCTCACGGTCTACTTGGTCATCGCGCTGGCCTCGGTCTCCTCGCTCTTCCTCTTCTCGGTGTTAGTGTTCGTGGTGGTGCGGCTGTGCAGGAGGAACAGGACTAATTTCATGGGTCGCTGTTCGGTACCTGAGGTCCACTTTCCGGGTCACTTGGTTGACGTGAGCGGCACCGGAACCTTGTCCCAGAGCTACCAGTACAAGGTGTGTCTGACAGGAGGTTCTGGGACCAACGAGTTCAAGTTTCTGAAGCCTATAATACCCAACCTCCTTTCTCAGGGTTCTGAGGGGATTAGTGACACAAATGGTCGTTTCAGAAACAGCTTCGAATTCAGTTGAGAATTAAAGTGCTGTATTGAGCCTATGTAGTCCCTGAGTTACAGAAACCCAAAAGATTCAGCGCTAGGACGAAAGCTGAAGACTGATGCAAAGGTGGCAGTTGTGCCCTTAGGCTACCTTTGGACCAAGGACTGATGAGTGGTCCGCTTTCCAAAGCTCAGACCCTTGAAAACCCCACGGAGGGCAGTTCTAATCTGTAATGCCCTAGGTCGGGTTTGTCTGTCATAACTGTTTGTTTAATAAGCCTGGTCTTGGTCAATTTATGCGAAATTGGTTTACATTTGTTTTCTAACTCTTTTGTTGTGGATTTCTTTTTTAAATTTTATTAATTTTAATGAACATTTACAGAGATTTTGGATTTCCATTCATTCATTGTTGCATTTTTCTCCTGGCCTAACCCCCCCCCAAAAACCCCGTTCGCTCTTCTCTTTGAAAAGTAAAAGAAAAATTATTTCATTGGTATACAATCCTCCCGCCCCAAGTACAATCCGCTGTGCAACCTTCATTCTGGACTCTTGTCATAACTATAATGTGGATGTCTTTTTAAAAATTTGAAATATAATTGTAATATTCCAGTTCTATCTATTGATGTTGCTACATGTGTCGTCTCTAGGGTATTTAAGAAAACATTGCCTGTGGAGTTGATTCTGACTGGTGACCAAATAGGACAGAGTAGAACTCCCCTTAGGGGTTTCTGAGGCTGTGTCACACCCTGCTCCCTTGAAGCAGCTCAGGGGTTCAGACTGCCACCTTTTTTGGTTAGCAGCTGAACGCTTACATACCCATCACCACCAGAGCTCCCTTGTCAGGGTTTAATCCAAACCCACTGCTCTTCCCCAGGCTTGGGAGAGTTGGTGTCATGGCCAGAGAGAACTATACCCTGCTTTCTCCAGAGAAATGACAATGAATTTGAACCACTGACCTTTCTGTTACCAACCCAACATGGGCACACTATACCACCAGGGCTCCTTATTTTAGGGCATAATGACTATCCATTTTCTTTGTATTATAATTGCTGATTAGCCTCAGTATTACTTAATTTGATTTAAGGTGTACAAGTAAAAATTGTGTTTTCAGACACTTTTTGTTTTTATTGTTAAAATGTTCCTTCCCAATCTCACTTTCCAAAGTTCCTTCATACTTTCAATATTTTCTGTTACTATAAGAGCAATTTCGTTACCAGTCTAGAATATTTTTACCCTCTTAAAGGAATCCTGATATGTTTTAAAGAATTTAAAAGCATTTAGGATTCAACTAGAAGCAAATCCCCAGATCTACAGATCTACTCATTCTGGCGTTTGTACAAACTGCTTTTAATACTCCCTTTCATTTCCCTAAATTTTCCAATGCTTTCCTTATGTGCTTGAGGTATGTTTCTCAATTGTTCTTCATATAATGCATGAATAACATAGTCACTGAGACATTGTAGGTTCTTAATAAAAATTTTGAGTGGTTAATTGAAAGAAAGAAGTGTTTTTATCTGTGATATATTGACATTCCAAAAGGGTCCGTATTCTTTCTGATGTATAAGAAATTACATAATTTTTCTTACTGAGTGAACTGTCTCTGTTTTTCGAACATGAAGCAGTTATTAGTCCTAATATCTCTTTCCATTAGCATATTTTTCCTTTGTCTCTTTTACTTTGAGTCTTCTAAGTTATTCACTGGCTTAAAGGATGTTGTTGTTGTTGTTGATTGCCTTCAAGTTGGTTCATAGCAACCCTATGAACAAAAGGCCTGCCCCTCTACAACTATCGACATTTATCAAAGTTCATAGAGTTTCCAGAGGCATGTTGTTTAGGAAGTGGATGCCACCCATGCTTAAAGAATACATGTTAGGAAATTGTGATTTTTCAGTTTTGTAATTTAAATTATCTTCCATAATTTCTAATGTTTCCTCTAACTTTCTTCATTTCTTAGTTACACATTAAAACAAAATTTTGATTATTGATATTTTCAGTCTCTTTACATTTTAATATATGTTTGAGTGAGTTAAACTATTATCATTAACATGAATTTTAAGGATCTCATTCTGAGATTAGTAAAATCTTGTTACCAGTGTAGGCCTAACTTCTACTACCACCTCAATATTGTGGAAATAAAATACAGCTAAAACCAATAACTTTGAAAATACTGTGGAATAAGTATGGCAGAAATCACTATCAGTTTTCCCTGAGTAGATGTGTAAATGTGGAAGGAATTAGGTATTTGTGGTCCTGAGAATCTATTCCCCAAATTAAATGATAATTCTTTTATCAGCTTGCATCAAGTTGTTTTTCGTGGCATTTTTCTGGCTCTACAATCAACTTAATGCACAATTTTAAAAATTGGGAGTGGAGAGGGCAAAGATAAACACATATAGTATGTACATTCTATCACCATTTAAAGAAAAATGTATTCTTTTTAAAATGTAATAATTGCAGAGTGAGGGGGAGCAGCATTAGCTTGCCTAGATTGTGTTTGTTTAACTTACTTGACACAAGAGCCCCTACAAAGGAACGTCAAGGAGGTGTAGAGAGAAAGCAAACGATTGAAAACAAAGGCAAAAAAAAAAGAAAAGAAAAGAAAACAAAGGCAATCACCTTCTCCATTAATTTGAAACTGCAAGCGAACGCATGGTGGCGCTGTTGACTAAGAAGGCGAAATAAACTATAGTCTTTATGCCCTGGTTCCTCCGAAATACCGGAATCCAGGCGGCAAACTTGGGCTTGTGAGCTAGGCAGATTTGTACGAAAGCAAATCAGAGCCTTTGGAAGGATTATTCGCTACACTATCTTCAAGGATAAGTGCAGAAAGACTGCCTTTTCCATCGCTGTGTCTCAATCTGGCGACATTTCCTGAAAGACCATGGCGGACAGCGCAATGCAGGACGGTGGGGAGCGCCTTCGTAGACAAAGGCAAGTCCTTCTCCTCTTTGTTTTTCTAGGTGGGTCTTTGTCTGTGTCCCAGTCTGGTCGCTATTCTGTAGCTGAGGAAAAAGAGAGGGGATTTCTAATAGCCAATCTAGCAAAGGATCTGGGCTTGAATGTAGGAGAAATGGCTGTGAGAAGGGCCCAAGTTGTTTCCAAAGGAAGCAAACAGCATTTCCAGCTCAATCATCAGACAGGCGATTTGCTCCTGAGTGAGAAATTGGACCGGGAGGAGCTGTGCGGCCTCACAGAGCCATGTATACTGGACTTTCAGGTGCTGCTGCAAAACCCTTTCCAGTTGTTTACAAACGAGCTCCAAGTCATAGATATAAACGACCATTCTCCTGTATTCCTCGAAAGGGAAATGCAGCTAAAAATACCAGAAAGTAGTCCACCAGGAACAACATTTCCTTTGGAAAATGCTGAGGACTTGGATGTGGGAAGAAACAGTCTCCAAAACTACACAGTCATTCCTAACCCCCATTTCCACGTTCTCACACTCAGTCGTCGAGATGGAAGGAAATATCCAGAACTAGTACTGGACAAAGCGCTGGATCGCGAGGAGCAGCCTGAATTCAGTTTAACACTTACAGCTCTAGATGGTGGATCTCCACCACGCTCAGGGACAGCCCAGATCAACGTCCTGGTCTTAGACATCAATGACAACGCCCCTGAATTCTCACAGTCTCTCTATGAGGCCCAGGTTCTAGAGAACAGTCCACTCAACTCAGTCATTGTCACTGTCTCGGCTACCGATTTAGACACAGAAAACTTTGGAACCATAACATACGCATTTTCCCATGCTTCTGAGGAAATTCGCAAAACTTTCAAACTAAATTCCATTACTGGTGATATCCAACTAGTAAAATATTTGAATTTTGAGTCAATTCATACTTTTGAAGTCGATGTAGAGGCCAAGGATGGTGGAGGCCTTTCGGGAAAATCAACAGTCATAATTCAGGTGATAGACGTGAATGACAACCCACCAGAACTGACCTTATCGCTGCTTAACAGTCCCATCCCAGAAAACTCGCCGGAGACAGTGGTAGCTATTTTCAGAATTTCAGATCCAGACTCTGGAGACAATGGGAGGATGATGTGTTCCATACAAGAGGATCTTCCCTTCGTCCTAAAACCCTCTGTAGAGAATTTTTACACTCTTGTGTCAAAAGAAGCGCTGGACAGAGAGAAAAGAGCTGAGTACAACATCACCATCACCGTCAGTGACTTGGGCACCCCCAGGCTGAAAACCGAGCACAAGATAACCGTGCTGGTCTCCGACGTGAATGACAACGCGCCCACCTTCTCCCAAGCCTCCTACACCCTGTTCATCCGCGAGAACAACAGCCCCGCCCTGCACATGGGCA